TTCTGAGATGACCACTTGAGGCAAAGAGCCCCCACTAGCCTAATAAAATGAGGGCCTTCCCAGGATAGAAAAAGGACCCTCCTAGTACAGTAAGATAAAAGCCTTCCCAGAATAGTGAAAGGGTCCTCCTAGCAACATAAGGTAAGAGCTTTCTTGAATTTATGTTAGAAAGAAATGTAGCCCCCAATCTGTAGTGCGCATGTGTAACCCCGCTGCAACCTTGAGCTGTGAAATACCCAATCATAATATATGTTACCAATATGTAAGCCTTATAGGGGGAGCAAATAAGCTAAAAATGTATAAAAGGCAATGTCCCCCTGTGCTCAGGGCTCAGCCTTTGGATGTGAATTTGCTGAGCCAGTGCCAGTACGAATAAACACTGCTTCCTGGCAAAAAAACCTCAGTGTTCCGTCTCCCTCTGTAAAAATCCTGCCACACACTCATTGCCATACCCCTTCACTTCTCCTATCTACTCTTAAAAGCTTGAGGGTAAAAGGTGGCTTCAGTACAGTAGTGACGACTTCAAGCTGAATGTCAGCCATTGCAGCCCTGGAAATCCTTCACTCCTTCACTGCCACTTGGAGTTGCTGTGTCCAGGACAGGGTCTCACCCTTGGCCCTAACTGCTCCATTCCTCACAGTCTCTTCTCTGTCTCCCAAGACTCTCTTCCTACCTTTTCTAACACCCAGTCTTCAATTCTCAAATTCCAGGCACTTAGGTGCCCTGCCTCCTAAAGAATAGTATGGTCCTCTAAGTAACAGTACCTCTAACCTGTGATGTGTATTGAAAGCCTCACTGGGATTTTATACTCATCAAAGAGCTATCTAGGCAGTTCTCCATCTCTTAGATGCCCAAAGCAGCAGCCAAAACTCCCTAATTACAGTTTTCCTTTTAAATGATCAAATTGCCCAGCATGGCCTCCACTGAGGATTTCTTTGCCCAGAAAGAGGTAGAGGCCCTTATTACATGTAAAACCTTCAAAATCATCCTCCTCAAATTTATGTCAAATGATCTTAGAATCACATTCACCCTCAGTCTTCTTTGTAGCTATTGATGAAAATTTGTTGTTTTGTTCCTTCAGAATATCTCCAGTTCTGCTATTTATGTACCTTTCTTATTTAATGTTGGAAATTCCTTGTGTAACATTTATAGTGATTTTCTTTTAATTTTTATATTCCGTCCAGAGCATTAATAAACAATCATTTCTCCACTGAAATGTTACTTATGCAAAAATAATCAGTGATGGCTGTCACTGTCTTGAAATGCTTAAAAGTTTTATCTTTGAACTTGTGTTTTGTAAGTGAGGTCCATTAGGACAATGGAGCACAAGATGAGTCAGGGAAAGATGCCCCGTGTATGTCCCCTTCCATTCCATGCAGCATATACAATGTACCATGCACATAGAATTCCCTGTGGACCCCAATATGCAAGAGCCAATGTGAGGACAAAGTAAGTGTGTTATGTTTACATCTGAATGAGTTGAGTGCTGACAGCCAAGTCCTCACTTTCCTATAGAACCTGAACTTGCTTCCCATGCAGAAAGAAGATAATGGTGTCTTAAGAAACAGAAAAGAACCTTATCCTATTTTTTATTTGTGTTGCTTCTTTATACTAGCCCCCAATTATGCTGACAATTTTATGACATAGAATAAAAAAGAAAGGTCCATCATAGTTCTTCCTTTTTTTTTTTTTTTTTTTTTGGTTTAACAAAACTTTTGTTATAATGTAAATTATGAACAAACTTATCACTACGTATAATTCCTTAATTCTTATATCTCTTATACATCTACAAATTTGCCAGTTTGTTGTTGTTTGGATGTAACTAATCACCAATGTTTTTGTATTTTGCTATCCAAAATCCTAATGAGGAGCATGGTTGCTCACTGAGGAATTATTACATTAAACAAATAGGGGCCACTATACTTTCAAGGCTTTATTTGCTGGTTCAAGGTCATCAGACTGCATACTTCACCAAACTCTGAGAAGTGAACAATCAAAGTAAAATCACAAAATGTTAGAACTGTTTGAAGTTATTACAGTAACTTCCAACAACATTTCTATGGTCCCAGTTTGAGAAACACCATTATCAAGGAAAAAGCAAGACTGGATAGGAGGTGCTAACGCTGGGAGGTTAACTGTATGAGTCTCATGTTCGTCATCCTTTCATAATGCCACTTAACTGTGAGAGTTTAATAGAATAAAAAAATAAAATGTGAGAGTAAAATAAAATGCATATACTTTGCATATATAAGTGGTAGCTGCTGATATGAATTCTAGTAATAAGAATAAAGGTCTGTTAAGCAAATATTCTCTATGCTTTAAATATAAAGTCTAGTAATAGGAATGAAAGTCTGTTAAGCAACTAAGATCAAATATAGTTCTTCCTTTCAATCCTTCTTTACCAAAGGAAGTCCAAGGTCAAGAATGTTAGTGGAACATGTGTGTATAAAGAAATGCCATGACAATAGTCAAGTTCATTTCGTGTAACATTTCCATGGGTCTGATTAAAAAAAAAAATACATATGCATGTACAAGCTATGAAACATGAATTGTGTAATTTCTGTGATTCCATGTATGAGTTAAGTACACTTATATTTGTATTTAAAACTGGTATTGTACAACTTAAGGATGGCGGGTACAATCCCTGCTAATAATTTAAGATTTTAATTTTTATTTACTTAGAATGATATTAAATAGCAAATAAAAATACTATGAAAAAGTAAGAGAGAAACAGAGAATAAAGGGGAAAGCTTTATATTTCACTACCTTTAATGGAATTTCCTTGTGTTTATATTTTTTTGTTTTTTATTTTTAGAGACAAGATCTCACTCTGTCACCCAGGCTAGAGTGTAGTGGCAGCATCATAGCTCACTGAACTCCTGGACTCAAGCAATCCTTCTGTTTCAGCCTCCCAAAGTGCTACTGTGCCTGCCCCGTACCCCCATCCCCATTTTCTGAAAAAGGGCCTTTGTTTTAAATTTTCTCCGGGCCCCACAAATTATATAGCCAGCCATGCAGCAGAGGGGAAAAAATCAAAGCTTCTTCCCCAGGGATCTAGTGAGGGGCAGCAAAAACAAATGTGTGACTAAATAATATACAATATAATGTTGGCAAACAGTGCTGTACAGAAAACTAAGGATGGCTAGAGCAAGTCAGAGAGGATCTGGGAATTATATGATGTAAACTTTAGCGATGGGGAAGAACTTGGGAGTTTAGGGGTTTGTGCATAAGATCAATAAGATCTGCTTTATGTTTCAGAAAAACATTTCTTTGGCTGTTGTTTATAGAATAGCCTGGAAGGAGGCAGGAGACCACTTAAAGCTCTGGAAAGGTCAGGGTCCGGGCTGGAGAAGCTCACCCTTGGTGTCTACAGGAGGCTCCAGGAGGGTGGGGCCTGCTACTCTGGGGAGGCTGCCCAAGAAGCAGGTATGGATTGAGGCTGGTTACTTTATTTATTTTTTTGAAAGCAGGATTTATTGAGAGGACAGAAAAGTTCCCACAGTGGGAGGGGACCCGAAGGAGTTGTCCTGAGGCAGGTTATTTTAGTAAGGGTTAGATAAAGATACATAAGTTTCTTTTAAAATAGGGTGAGCATTCAGACATTTTTTCCTTATTGACATGCCAGACCTGACCACCCTGAGGGCTGGAATGTGGACTTACCAGTACAACCACCCGTTCAGTTCATGGTTAGCATAATACTCATTGTAAACCTCCTCAGGCCCCCTCCCTCTGTGGGAGCTTTCCTGTCCTCTGAACAAATCCTGCTTTCTCAAAAAAAAAAAAAAAAAAAGTTTGTCAAGTTTTCTGTTAAAAGGAAATGTCCAGTCAGGAAAGCCCATCAAAGATGGAGAAATGGTAATCAGTCCACCTTTTAGCTCATGGTTAGCACAGTAATCATTGTAAAAGTCTATCAAGTTCCCCTTCAAAGGCAAAGTCCAGGAAAAGTCCAGGCCACTTAGCTCATCAAAGGAGAGCGACAGTAATCGAACTCAGATATCTGCTGCCCAGCTTTTAGCAGTAATAATCACTGTATAGGTATATCAAGCCTCTTGTCAAAGCCAAACGCGCATTCTAGCTCTTAAGATGCTCATGCCCTACAGGAATGTCTCCTTCTTTCTCTCTAAAAAAATTGTGTCTTCAAACTATACTTGGATCTGCTCTGAAATTCTTTTCTGGGTGGTGGGTCAAGGAACCCACGGAACGTCATGCCACGACTGGCAACACGGAGGACAATCCAATCTTAGATTTTGAGCCTTCTGGCTTGCTTCCTCAAAGTGGAAATGTCCAAAAGACAGGTGAATATGCAAGTTTGAACTCAGGAACGTTTCATGAACACATCTATGCAGAGCATTTTGCCGAGCCCTAGGGACACTGCCTTGGCCAGGGAGTCAAGTTGCTACAGGTTCCAATGTGCTCCAAAAACTTTCCTTATTTAAAACTGTATGATCGGCCGGGCTTGGCGGCTCAGCCCGTAATCCCAGCACTTTGAGAGGCCGAGGCGAGTGAATTGCCTGAGCCCGCGGGTTCGAGACCAGCCCGGGCAACTTGGCGAGACCTCGTCTCTACAATAACTTTAAAAAAAATTATCCGGGTGTAGTAGCACGCGCCTGTAGTTCCGGCTATTTGGAAGGCTGAGGCGGAAGGATTGCCGGAGCCCAGAAGGTCAATTTTGGGGTAGCGGTGAGTGTGCCACTGCACTCCAGCCCTGGGCAACAGAGTAAGACTCCAACTCAAAAAACAACAGCAGCAACAAAAATGTATGATCGTTGCTGTTATTTGTTTTCTATGAACTGGCTGCCTTCATGAAGATCTCTCACCTATGCCGCAAAGCCCTCTTTCCCCCGGGCGGCCAAGCGCTCTGAAATCGGCTTGAAGCAAAGCCGGATAGGTCCTCCAAGGCACCAAGAGGGCGGGCCAGACAGGCCGCAACCCGACCCCGGCCCGGCCGCAGTGGCGACTGACGACGCCCCGGAACTGACGGCGCGCCTGTGTATGGACGCTCCGCGGCGGCTGCGGTTTTGAACGTCATCGCGGGCGCGACGCCCCGAGGGACGGTCTGGGGTCCGGGGCGGTGCGGGGCGAGACCGGCCGGGAAGATGCCAGTGGCGGTGATGGCGGAAAGTGCCTTCAGTTTCAAAAAGTTGCTGGATCAGTGCGAGAACCAGGAACTCGAGGTAGCCATTTGTGACTCCCTGGGAGAAACTGCGGGGTCGGCTCCTCTGCGGCACCGGTTTCCAGGGTAACGGAGCCTGGGGCCCGCGGTGCTCTGGGCGCGCACTGGGCGGGCGCGGGTGGCGGGCGCGTGGAGCCCGGGACGCTGCGGCCTGCTCCAGCTGGGCCGAGTCTCCCCGAACTCGCAAGGAGCTTTTTGTTATTTGTCTTCAGCGTGCAAGCCCTAAAACCTATGCATCTTTGCTCTAGCAGCCGCAGATATGCTCATGTTAATGAGGCTAGACAGCCTTCCTTCCTATTGGCAGGGTTGGAGGGGACCGTAATGTGGATTTTATTAAAGACCTGTGTGCAGGCACACAGACACACACACACACACCAAGAAAGGTGTGATCGTTGTAACCTTTTCTTAACTCACAAAGCCTTTAGTCTCATAATGTTACGAAGCAAGCTTGCCATTTTGTTTCTTATAAGACAGATGAACGTTATATTTTGTAGCTATTGACGTTAAGATTTTTTTTTTTTTTTTAGAAAGTCACTTAAAAAACATAACATTAGTATAAAAACTAATTAACTAAAGAAGACACCGGCCAGAGGCATTAGCTCACTAATAGACAGATGTTTTACCATTGCGTGAGGAGAGAAATGTCTTCGTAACTCAGCTATGATGATTTTCTTCCCCTTAGTAACTTACTTCGACATTTAGCAGGCTTGATGAGCAGAATAGGAATGGTTTAGGAATCTTTTGAAACTTTTTGTTTTTTGTAATAGTAAGATCATTTTAATGAAAATTTGAGAACCGGGAAAGGGAATCCATTTCAATGTATACATCCATGTAAATATATAAAGAAACGGAGGTGATGACAGATCTAAACTTAGTACTCTGGATTTTAGTGTTTCATGCTTTTTCTAAGTTGTTTCTAGTCTGTAATAGGACTATAAAATAGGCTTGCTTTTTGATTAGCATTAATAAAATATTTTAGTGGAAATATGAGAATAAATGATTTTTTTGTCTCTTTAAAAATTGTTGGCCTTGTAGGCTCCTGGAGGAATTGCTACACCCCCAGTGTATGGTCAGCTTCTAGCTTTATATTTGCTCCATAATGACATGTAAGTATCTTTAACTAAAGCCAAGAGCAACCACTTCCTCAAAGTTATATGGAAATTTTACAGCATTGAAGTAGAACCATTACAACATAGGCACAATGAGTTATATATTTTATTATAATACCTATTATATCCATTTTCTACTGAATCATAGCTTTAATAAATTAAGCTTAGTCTGTTATTTTAAGACACATTTGTTTTACACATACCTTCTAGAAAACATTTCAGCTTATTATGAGATACTACTCCATTGACCTTTTTCCCTTTCTTCTTTTTTTAAAACTTTCTCGTAACTACTGCCTACTTAGCTTCATATGTAATCCGTAGACCAAAAGAAGCTGAAAGGGAAGATTGGGAGTCAAGAGGAATTCATTACCAATGTATTTTAGATTTCTTGAAAGTTCTTTGTTTAACTATTTCAAATTCACGTTCATTAGGAAAAGTCAGAAAACATAGCTACACGGAAGGAGTCTTCTATAGTTCTATAACCTATCGATGATTCCTGATAAAACTTTGTTCAAAATTCTCCCAAAACCTTTCTTTCATATCTTTTTAAAAACTAAACTGAGATTTTTATTACACATGCATAAATTATGTTTCATTTTTATAATCCCATCATCATGTTTGTTAGTAATTCGAGCTTCTAAACCTTTGAAGTTTCAGAGGCTCTGTACACCCTGGTAGGAGAAGTTGTAATTAGGGGAAAAGTATTGTGTGTCATATGTATTGTTAGGGAATGTGAGAGCCTTAAAAGTACCTTCACTGGTTTATTTTTATGTCTGAATAAATCATTTGGGCAGTTCTATATAAGTCTGTGTTTTTACTGTGCTGTTGCCTTAATTTAGGATATGGATCGTTTATTTTTAAAAATTCACTAGGAATGGCAAAAATGTGATTTTAATACAAACATTTCACATCTTTTTATCTGAAAAACAACTCATTTCCCCAGAACAAATTTACATGAAACTAAATTTTATTCTGTATCGTGTAGAATATTTTATCCTTCTCTGTGTTTGCCTTGGGACCTAGTAATTTTTAACATTTACTGAAACGTTTTTAATTGATTATTTTTCTTTGTGGTGGTGTAAATTAGGAATAATGCAAGATATCTTTGGAAAAGAATTCCACCTGCTATAAAATCTGTAAGTATTTTAACACATTTTACTACTTTAATATAGTAGTGACATTCATTCACTTAAATGTTCCTGCTTTATTTCCCATGTCCCAGAAATAATCATTAAACTGGTATTAAGGTTGAAGAATAGATCTTCAGCTTCCTCTAATCAGAAATTTGAATTATTCTGGGTTGGTAATCTGTGCCCAGCTCCTACTGCTCAGTTCTTTTTTGAGACATTTTTATAAGTGCAGCTTCACCAGTTAAACACCTGAGCCAGCTTAAATGAAGGAAGGTGCTGGCGGCGGTGGTGGTGATGGTGATTTTCAACTGATTTATGCCATTTCCTATAATGGTACTTATTTTGAAAATGGTATTTTTAATAAGAATACTCTAAAAATGATTATTCACAGCATTAAGATTACTTTTGCTAATTAGAATTTTAGACTTGCTATTTTAAATGGGAGATTAGGTGAAATAACCTGAGAGACGTTTCTTCCAAAGTGAAATGAAGTAAATTTTTAATTTCAAATGATTTGCTATAACTAACATGACTATGAAGTAAATTTTTAAATATTCTCAGAATGTAACCAAGAATTCACCTAAACTCTTGCTCATTGTTGATCTTTAGCAGATCAGATTAGCATTTTTACTCTTACTTTTCCAGACATTCTGTTATGTAGGATTGGAATATTCCTCAGCTTCTTCGGTTAAATAAAGAATTATAAATTATACACAGTTTCACTGATACTAGTGATATCACTGTCTTGTCTTTAGAGAGGCTATGATAAATGACATCTTAGATTGACAGCCTCCATTGTTAACTATTTTGCTATTACTTTTGTCATCCGTGTGTGTGTGTGTGTGTGTGTGTAAGTTGTGTACACATTTTAAGAAAGGAAAACACTGTATTAAAATTGTAATAATAAGGTGAATGAATACAAGTCACGTTTGACTTCTGCAATGACAAGAGGTGCTCACAGTGGTTATCACCAGTATCCAGATACTTGTGATTTTGGCGAAAGTCTCTTAAAATGTGTATACATTATTTTGGCATCCCTGGTGTGTATGTGTTTGTTTTGAGACAGTGTGAGTGCAGTGGTGTGATCATAGTTAGCTCGCTGCAGCTTTAACATCCTAGTTAAAGTGTGCGCCACACTGGGCTAAACTTTTAATTTTTTGTAGAGACAAGGTCTTGCTATGTTGCCCAGGCTGGTCTGGAACTAGCTTCAAGCGATCCTCCTGCCTCGGCCTCTCAAAGTGCTGTGATTACAGGTGTGAGCCATTATACCTGGCTCCTAAATGTATACATGTATACATGTGTGTGTGAAATGTAGTACATCTTTAAAAACAACAGTGCTTAAAATAATTAGTCTCAGGCTTATTACCTGCAGTATTTTTTTTTTTGAGTTGTTTGTTTTTTTTTTTTTGAGTTGTTTTTTTTTTTTTTTTTTTTTGACTGAGTCTTACTTAGTCACCCCAACTGTAGTGCAGTGGCATGCTCATGGCCACCCTGTTGTTGACCTGCTGGGCTCCAGCGATCCTTCTACCTCAGCCTTACAAGTAGCTAAACTACAAGCACACACTACCATGCATGGCTAATTTTTTTTTTTTAATTTATTGCAGAGATGAGGTCTCACCAAGTTGCACGGGCTGGTCTCAAACCTGTGGGCTTAGGCAGTCCACTCACCTCAGCCTCCCAAAGTGCTGGGATTACAGGCCGAGCCACCGAACCCAGCCTACCTGCTGTATTTTTGAACTGCTTTCTTATGCCTTCATTTGCTAATGTAATAAAATTTTATTTCAAACTACAAATAAATCTTACATTACTACTCATGGTGTTTAATGTCTTTGATAGTGATTGGATGGAAAAAGCATCTCAAAAAAATTTGAATTATGTTTTAATTATACAACTAGCAAATCTTATATCATTTCTGGTATTTTGTTTTAAGATACAGTCATTGATAAATTTGCAGAGTGAATACCCTCAAAAGGAATTATATTTATTACAGGCAAATTCTGAACTTGGGGGAATTTGGTCAGTAGGACAAAGAATCTGGCAGAGAGATTTCCCTGGGATCTACACGACCATCAATGCTCACCAGTGGTCTGAGACGGTCCAGCCAATCATGGAAGCACTTAGAGGTAGTGTTTCTTTTGGTTAAAAGTTAAATTAGATTAGACCTGTTTCCTGGGTGCTGCAGTGTTGAAGTCAATGGTATGTTTAAAAAGTAAGTATTTTTGATAAATCAGTGAGGCAGTTTTTGGAATTTTTTCAGTTTGCTATAATCATACTTTTTCATTTTATGTTGTTTAAGGTTATATTGGCAGCTTATCCCTTTGTTGTTTTTTTATTTAATTCTAGATTGAAATTGTTCATTTCAGTAAAAGATATTTTTGCTCTTAAAATGAAGTCTTGTAATACTCTAAAAAGGTTTAAGATATGGGTTGGTAAAGATTTTTAAAATCCATGTATTTAAAAATAAAAGACTGCACTTTGAACTTTGTCACCCTCAGCTGTTGTAGATATCATCTGCACCATCTGGATTTTGTAATGAATCAAGTTAAAACGTAGGTACTGAGACCTGTTTTTAATGGCTTTGGAAGATTACAAATGTGCTACTGATCCCACAATAAAATCTTGTCCTCTGCCTCTCCATTTTCCCAGCCCTAACATTTTCCTGGTTCACTGTTTTTTAAATTTATACAGTGATCTCTTTTTATGTTGTTATACTCTTGTTTCTTATTGTCACCTTATTTCTGTGGTTAATATCTGCCTTCACTATATGCCTTCCTGCTCTGGAGAAGTCAGTGAGCAAGAATAACTACTCATCAGTCTGTAAGGGATATCAGCTTTACAGAATAACACATGGCCAAGATTGTTTTTGAGATGCACGTAATGCCCTTGGAATGGTAAAATCATGTCAGCATAAAACAGCAATACAAGTGAAAACACAGGAGGCAGCTGCTTTAAGTGTGAATGAAATGAGCAGAATCAACAGGGCAGGTGGTTGGGAAAGGAGAAGTATGCACAGATAGAGTGGGGAAAGTTTTAGAAATTAGCACAGAAAAGAGCCTTAACCTCTTCATCTCAGCCTCAAGGAATTGGTGTCATAGTCAACTTGCATAATGTCTAGTTCAGCCTTGTGTTATACAGTAGATTCATTGGCAGGACTGGGCTCGGGGCTCCTTACTCATTCAGCAAGGGCTCTGGTGTGTACCTTCCCGGTGCCTCCTCTTACTGTGGATTCTCCATTAAATTGAGAATTCCTTGAAAGCAGTTCTGTAGCCCCATGAGAGGCTGTGTAGTATAACATGTGGGAGTTTGGACTCTGGATCCAGGCTTCCACAGTTCAAATTCTGGTTCTGTCACTGGGGTGACTCCTCAATATGATTAGATATAGTACTTTTCTCAGGTTGTTATAGATGAGTTAATATGTATAAGCACTTACCTTATTCTAAAGCACTCTTACATTATTCCTGTATATATCCTGAGACTTGAACAAATCTCCAGATTTATGAATGGTACTATTTTTCCTCTGTAAAATGCATCCTGGTAAGGGTAGTCTCATAACAGATCTGAATTACTGCTGAGCTTAATATTTTGCTTCTTAATGTATTACAAATGTGTTTTCTATTTAAGAACAGTCACTTTCTTTTGTCACATTTCATTCTTTTCTGAATGAGTCCCTTTAGAACAGTCCTTACCAACAAATACCTACAAAGACATTAGGGACTAACTGTACACAGTAGCCATTCTTACCTGAGACCCAAGGGGCAAGGTGGAAAAGGGGCTGCCTCACAGGAGCTGTGAATGCAGAAAGTCAGCTGGAGCAAAGCAGGAGGGGGCAGAGGAAATAAGTTCCCTGACCTTTCATCCTGGCCTTTGACCTCCTGATGCCAAAACAATAGAGCTCAGGTGCCACAGGCATTGGTGGTGACCAACCTCCCTGGAATATATTATGACTGGGAAGGGTAGAAGTGAATTGCTGAGTATGGGGCAGTGACTAGCTCCTCTTCCCTTCTGTCTGCAGCACTGGCAATAATGGGTAAAGTAGCTCTTGAGTATTTGTTGAACAACTGAAGTTGCATTATATTAGTATTCTATTAGGATTTTCACCAAAAATGTGTCCTATGAAAAATTGACACAGATATTAGGTGCTAGCTCAGTTTATTCCACCTTCCTGCGTGTCATTCTAACACATGCCTTCATGAAGTTACAGATGTCACAGCTCTTGAGAGTCACATAGTGACTAGTCAGAATGTAGATGTTAGAGTCATGCATGCTGAGTGGCTAAAAACAGCCTGAATAATGCAGCATTTGAGAATAATAACATTTAGCCTTTATTTTTGCTTCCCTTGTCAACTTACTTCTGCCTCCCTCATATGTTTTTCTACCCTTTTCCAATTACATCTCTTTTGGCTTCTCTTCTTTCTGTGTATCTCTTCTATTCATATTCTATTCCCCACTCTCAAAATCTGACCAGAGTATCTGAAATGTTTTCATTTATTAAAACATTAATAATGTTTTAATAATGTTTAATTTATTAAAACATTAAGGTAAATGTTTTAAAAATAGGCTTACCAAATGAATGCTGTTTTGTGGTATATACTTTTATTTTCCTAAGGAGACCAAAAAAAGACAGCCTTCTATAGACACAGTGTTTAAGTTAGATTGCTTGCTGGAGGTTAGTTAAAGAAGGAAGGAATTGAATGGAAAGGCACAGAAGAGCAAATAATGGCTCCCTGAAAGGTGGAGAGGGTGTCAGGCTCAGTATTGGGAAGGAGTGTGACTGTCAGCGATGTTTAAGGAATATGAAAAACAAAGCTTTAGTCCTAGTGTTCAGTACATACTTTACTGAAGATGCTAAGTGCTTTGGGGATGTAAAGATACAAGAGAGCCCTTCCTCTCAAAAAGTGTGGAATATAATTGAGAAGATGGGGATGGGTGGAACAATATGCCATAAGTGGTAAAAGATTGTCTGTTAAAGTAGAAGTGTAAACAATACAGTGAGTTTCCAGAAGAGCAGAGATTGTAATTAATTATAAACAGACCTAGGAATAGCAGAGAGCAGACAGGAGGGCATTTCAGGCCATGGAATGGCATAAACCAAAACCCCGGGGATGAGAAGGTGTAAGACTTTTCGGAGAGCCAGTGGGCTAGTTTGGAGCAAAAAGGGCCTGAGGGAATTGGTGTAGTTGTTTGATAATGGAGTGGGATTTTCAGTGTTACAAGGTTTATTTATGTACACTTGCTTATTAAACATGAAAAGTAAAATTCAGAGTAGTCCCAAAGTATGTTGACAACTGATAGAGGAGCTCTTGTGCTACTGAAGATCATGTGCAGAAAGATAGGCCAGCTGGTTCCACAGTGCTCAACTCTTTATCATTCCTGAATCTGTTTCATGTGGGTATGTAAGCCTGTGAACAATTCCAAATGCCATTTCTATAGAAGAGTTTTTATTGCTAGTATTGTTTGGCAGCCCCTTCTTGTTAGACTTACTTGTTCAGGGCTGGGATTTAGGATTTTGAACCTGAATGAAGTCAAGAGTTTGATACAGACTTGCTCTAGTTACATGGTTTGTTCTGCACCTCCCAGCTGTGAACTTGTATTAGTGACTCTCCTGAGAAAGACAGCTAGTAACAAAAATAGGTTTTCTGCCACATTCATTTCAGCATTTGTAAATGGAATAAAAGAGAATAAAAGAAATAAAATGTACATCCCCATTACATAAATATATTAAATTTTCTTAGGGTTGGAGTCTTATGCTTATTAACTTTTTTCTTCTTTGTAAGATTTGTTGTCATCTGAGAGAGTTTTCATCTCAGAGGAAGTGTTAGAAATGTTTATTCAACAGTGTTTGAGCTCCTCTTACATGAGAGGCACTTAATCTGTATCTATAAGCAAAGAATTCTGGTCTGGGTTGGTCTGGTCTTATAAAAATTGACATTTATGTAATTTAATTATGTGTTTTAAAATGCCTACTCTTATGGTTTACTCTCTGCCAACCTCCACTCCCACAATAGATGCGACAAGGAGACGAGCCTTCGCCCTGGTCTCCCAAGCATATACATCAATAGTAGCCGATGACTTTGCAGCCTTCGTTGGACTTCCTGTAGAAGAGGCTGTGAAAGGTATTTTTGGCTCCTTTTACTTACAAAGACAGTGGAAAATAGAAGTGTGAATTATAGGTTCACCAGCTCTTCTCTGAAATTCTTGGAATAGGATATAGATTTGGAATCTAGGTTGTGTTTGTTTTTTAGAAAGGTGTTATAAAACAGGTACTGGGCAACACCCCAGCAAATACCCTGTAATTAAGCACATTCATAGTTCTGCAGCAAGCAAATATATGAACATCCACATAGGTGGTTAAGAAAATAAAACTAATCCCTCCCCTTGCTTTGTTGCATTGTTTTACCATTACTGACATTTTTTGTTCTCTCACTAAATTATGAGCTCCATCAAGTATCATGCCTTACATTTTTTAGGTCTTAGCACAATTCTAGACTCATGGAGGACAGGTTAATGAAAGCTCTTATGATATTAAATAATACTGTTGTTATTTACTCATGTAAACATTTACTTGTTTTGACTTTTCTCTTAAAATTGATACATAATTTGTTATTTATGTACAATGTACTTTAGAGCCCATATTTTTAACTGACTGCTTGAGTGTGAATCCTTGTACCATCCCACCCCCATGCCAGTTATATGATTGAGGACAAATCCTAGAATTCCCTAAACTTCCTTTTCCACACCTGTCAAATGATGGCACCATGTCCCACTCCATAGAAGTGTGACGATTACTTAAAATGGTCCCTTTAAAAGCATCTAGTGTGATACCTGTGGGGAAACTTTTTGATATGAAATCTGTTTTCATCATTTGCATCATCCTTGTTATTGCTAATATGATTACAAAAGGTGTCATATATGCTTTCCTTATGTCTGTTTTTATAATACTGATTAGATTATTTTAATATAGACTTTACAGAAAACTAACATCCTAATGGAGGTAGTGATTATAGCAGCCTAGTAGAATAAAATGAGGCTTTGATTTATGTTTCAGAAATATATCAAAATAAGTTTACATGCGATCCATAGTATACCTTTTTAGTAAAAATGCACGATAGGTTAAACACAAAAGGTCTCTCATACAAGTAGTATCATGAACAGATGGTAGATTATGTTGGGTGTTTTTGTTATTTCCTCATCTGTATGTGAAATACATGTTTTTAGGTATATTAGAACAAGGATGGCAAGCCGACTCCACCACAAGAATGGTTCTGCCCAGAAAGCCAGGTAGGTGGAGCTCTTCACCCATTTGTGCAGCATTGAACTCTTCTAAGACTGCTTCAGATTTTCAGACTCTGCATTTAAATAATTTGATTAAAATTGCATTAACACAATAGAAGTAATTCACTTTTTAAATATAGGTAAGTAGTGATAGACTTAGGATAGAAGGGATCTTAAAAGTTACCTACTTTTAAATTTTTAAAATGTATTTCATATATAAAAGACTGTTTTATGTAGGTATTTCATGGTCCTGAATACTGCTTAATTTTTGTTAAATATTAATCTCCCATCTTTTTATTTATTGAACCATTTTTAACTGTGCTAATCCTTAATATCTAAACTTTTTAAAGAAAAACAGGGCCGAGCACAGTGGCTCAAGCCTGTAATCCCAGCACTTTGGGAAGCCGAGGTGAGGGGACTGCCTGAGCCCACAGGTTCAAGAACTGCCTGGGCAACTTGTCGAGACCTCATCTCTACAATAAATCAAAATATTAGCTGGGCATGGTAGCACGCACCTCTAGTTCCGGCTACTTGGAAGGCTGAGGCAGCAGGATCGCCTGAGCCCAGCGGGTCGACACTGGGGTGACCGTGAGTGTGCTACTGCACTCCAGCCTAGGTGATGAATTGAGACTCCAACTCAAGAAAGAAAGAAAAACTTTTAATTATTCAGCTGCTTCCTTTTTCTCCTGTACTTGAGTCATACAGACTCTTATTCTGTGGCTTTCCCTTTCACAGAATTAACTTCTCTAATCTTTCTGTTAGTCTTACATTCTGTGACCTGTCCTCGTTGTCTTAATCAGAATTCCCCAGCCCCCTAGTCTTAACTCTCTGAGGCAGTCATCCTCACTCCTGCCTGGTGATTTCTCTTCCCCTGCTGACCAGGAGTGTCCTTTTCTGCCAGATCTTTAGAGCCAGGCTTAATGCCCACTTCCATAAACCTCCCTGCATCCACATCAACCCAAATTTTCTTCTATCTACTCTGAATTCCTACTGTTTAGACATTGTTGAACATACAGTAAAAAGTATTACACAAATCTCAATGTGCTCAGCACTGTGAGGGTACAAAAAATAGGAAGACATGATCCCAGCCAACCTAGATGATGAAGGAAGACTGATTTAATAAAGACTACCAAAATAGAGCATGATTATCTCCTGTTTAAGAAATAAATGGCCATAAGTGCATATTGCATTATGTTCTATGAAAGGTCTTTACAATAACTTCTATAAGTGGAGCTGTAATTTTTTTTTTTTTATTTAGTTGCAGGGGCCCTGGATACTTCCTTTAATAAGTTTATTCCCTTGTCAGGTATGTATTTTCATACACATATTTTTAAAATATCTCATTGTTCTTAATTTTTGGGTGGTGCGTGTGTGCATTTGGTTCTAACCTTATAAACAGATTAAATTTTTTAAACTTATAGTAATACATCTGGTTACAAGAGCGAAACTGTGGGCCCCCCTGTAGCTTACCTTGAGGTGGTGGCACCCTCTGACCCAGCTGCAGGGCCTACTTACTGTCATGTAGGGAATCCTTTATAGAAGTCTCACCAGCATGTTTATTCAGAAGATACCCTCAAGATGACATGTGGCTATTTTAAATGTTAGGATGTAAATTTCTTGAGGATGAAGTTCTTTGTGGATTTTTTTGTTCATTACAAATAGTTCTCCTATAGCGTTGCCTGGCACATGGAAGGTATTCAGTACTTATTCCTTGAATTAAGTGTCTCATGGGTAGGGACCTTCCCAAGAAGAGCTGTGATCTCTTAAAAGAGATGTTGCATGTTAAAAGTGTTTTTAACCTTCACCTAGAGTACTTCACCTAGGATAACAACAACGCCAGACAGGCCTTTACTCGTAGTTAAGGAAAACTATACTCATAAAAGTTGAGATTTCTTGACTTGCTATTCAAAAAAGTGCAGGCTCCTAAGAGACTGAATTTGTCTAAGATCAGGACAAATCTAAGAAAGTTTCCTTGTTAAAATTAGTGGGGGTGGGCGGTGGGGCCAAAGCTTTGTTATAGTGATGTCTAACTTGAGTGTCTTTCTCTTTTTAACATATAGAGCCTACACCAGTTCCCCCAATCCCTAATGAACAGCAATTAGCCAGACTGACCGATTATGTGGCTTTCCTTGAAAACTGATTTATCACCCTGAGTTCAAGATCCACCTTCAGAATTCTGCGTACTGACAAATATAGAAATGTAAAATGTTTATTTTCAATTTATTAGGTGGATTAAGCACCTCAGCATTCCTTACTGAATATGAGATATGATACATATATAATATAAGGTATATTATATGTGTTTGTCCTAAAACATTATGCTGAATAGTTGTTGAAACAATGCTTATTTTGTAATATTTAACGATCTGGATGGAGCCATCAGTATTATGTGGTTAGTTTATATTTTGTAGTGACTCATAAAATAAGATCTCCTGTTTCATGTAGAACAGTAGTTGTCAACTTTATTTTCCCTGCCCCAGCACAGGCCAAACTCTTATCTGTACCACTGGTTGATAATTGTAGTGATTCATTTGGAGTTTGAGGAGAACTGTCCCCAGGGGCAATATCTGAATTGCTGTGATTCACCTTCTTTGTAGAATATGCTCTCTTTTCTCCCCATGTCCTGAGAGCTACTAATGCCGAATACAGAAATACAGCTGAGGAACAAATAAACCATTCTCATAGTAAACCAGTTTGTTAACTTTAGATTTTTTTTCCAGTAGTGTGAGTACACCCATTGCTGGCAGTGGAGGGCTTGCAATGAAAATGGGACTTAAGACATTCATGAGAAGTATTAAGTTGTGCTGGGTCCTTTCAGAAGGTAAACTTAGGTATGGAATATGTTATATGTGGAAAGGAGCTATTACGTGATACACTTTGTACAACCATCCTGCAGCCTATTGGTTGCTTATATTTATCTCTTGATTCAAGTTCTGCCCTTTGGAGAAATACTGAACAAGTCTTTTATTCTTTGTGTGACAGCCCTCTGAGTATTTGAAGTTGTTTGTTATGTTTTCAGGTTAAAACATCCCTTCCCCTTAGTTCATTTATTCTGCATTTGTTCAATAAATATTTAACTAAATTCTTCAACTGTTTTTTTCTAAGATAATTTCTAGAAATTTCACTCTCGGTCTTTCTGTGGACACATTCTAGTTTGTCATTGTCTCTCAAAATATGAGTTACTTTTAGTCATTTTTTTCCCTGAGTCAGCTCTGCCTCATGAATTTCTTAATTAGATAGAAATGATCTATGTAGTGATGACTACATAATTCATGTTTTCATTTTAAGTATCTTATTAGCTGTTACAGTTAGGGTTCGCATATGGAAATACCTTTTAAATTGCAACTTTATTTAATCTTGATAGGTAAGTCATGTTAACTCCTTGTTTTACAGTTGAGGAAATGGAAATTTGTAAAGTCAGGATCAATAGCAAGAAATTGATGCGTTTTCTTGCTTTCAGGTATTAAATGCAAATTGTATCCATGGATTTTATTTTTAATAGAAAATTAGAATCAACCCAAATGTTCATTAATAGGGGACTGATTGAATAAACAACAATATGTAGTATAGACGATGCAGCTGTGAAAGGCATGAAGAAGATATATATATATATATATATGTAAATAAAATGTGTGTGTGTGTGTGTATGTGTGTATACACTTAAAGCAGAAAGTACAAGGAGTTTATACTGCTATTTTTGAGAGTAACATGAGGAGAACAACTACAATTGTATATACATATATATTTGCTTATATTTCGTTAAGAATTGAAGGATAAACCAAAAATGAATAAAAATGTTTCTCTAAAGAGGAGGGAAAAGACAGTGAACTACTAACATAAAAAATAATTACCTCAGGCCGGGCATGGTAGCTCAAGCCTGTAATCCCAGCACTTTGGGAGGCGGAGGCAAGAGGATTGCCTGAACCCAGGGGTTCAAGACCAGCCTGGGCAACTTCATGAGACCTCGTCTCTACAATATATCAAAAAGAAAATTAGCCGGGCATGGTAGCATGCACCTGTAGTTCTGGCTACTTGGAAGGCTGAGGCAGGAGGATTGCCTGAGCCCAGTGGGTTGACGGTGGGGTGGCCATTAGCATGCCATTGCACTCCAGCCTGGGTGACAGAGTGAGACTGACATAATGATGATGATGATGATAATAATAATAATAATAACCTATCTTGTCTGTGAGATGTACACTAAGGACAAAAACAAACAAACCACCAAATGTGGTTTTTCATGATTAATTTCACAAAATGATATCTTTATCATTATTAAAAGTACAACATAGAATGAAATTAGTAATTATGTAACATTAGAAGCCAGTAATCTCAAATTTGACTTGGAAAACTCATTATATGATTTACTTTTTCTTTTTAATCATTAAATATTTTTCAACTCTGTTCAAGTGAAAAGGCATAAAATGATTACAGTTCAGTAGTAGTGAGCACCACTAGTACCCAGATTGTATTCTCCCAATTTCATTTTTAGCTAAAGGAATAAGAATTTATTTGCAAAATAGTTAAGAGGTCTAGTGCATTAAATGTGCAAGTTGGTATTTGGTACAACAAGTCCCAGGTTTGAGGAAGCTTTTAAAGACTCGGACTTCTGTCAAAATGTTACAAAAGCCAACTTGAAGGGGCTCCCACCGACCATTTAAAAATGAGACAATTTGAGCATGAAAAAGCATGTATATGTGTTTATATTCTGCCAGAGACCAGCTCCAGCCGGGTTCAGGGTACCCCAAAGGTGGAGACAGCATCAGTGATTGGGGGGAAGAAGAAAGAGAGAGGGAGAAAGAAAGAGACTGGACTCCAGTCTAGTGAAAAAGCGATGTGTGTTATTGGGAATTACAACGGGTCTTTTATACACAAAGTCAGATGTGGGAGAGACGTCCCCCACCCACCAGAAACCTTAATCCATGAAAACTTAATCAATGATTGCCTTTAAACCCTTTTCATATGATAATCTTAAAATCACATAACAAAGGATAACCTAATCTGTGACTGACATATTCTATAAACCTTTTTCATCCTAAGCTGATTGATTTATGCCAAGTTAAACAATTCTATAGAAGCTTAAGTATTTACTTTACAAACGAAAGTGACCCATCCCAGAATGTTTGGAATGTTGCCCAGTCCAAAGTTCACAGTGGGCTCCCTGCAAGTAACCCAGCCGCATTCTTTCAACAAAATGGCTGTCCTCTAAAACTATATTCTACAATTTGCACCTTCAATAAATCCTAAGATCATGACCCAGAAGCCTGTGACCAATACTAAGGCTCTTAGATGTGACACGAGTTTGAATTATAAGTTTTGTGAAAGCCAAAACTGCAGTTTGAGGAAGAATGGGAGCAATGAGC